GCAAGAGGCTTTTACTAGTTAATAGCACCTTAATCTTAAACTTCCCAGCCTTTGGAATTAGGAACCCATAACTTTTTATTAAAAAACAAAAACAAAAACCTTCTTATTCGTTAGAAATGACTTGAGCTGTGGTCCTCTATTGTAGTGCCGTGAAATAGACCTGTAACTCCCCACAAATTCTCCCTCCTCCCTCCTCTGCCTTGGTCAGTGCCCTGCAATGATGACCTTCATGGCCTGCCTCATCCAGGCTCCTTTGCTCTGGCTTCCTGGCCAGGCTGAGGGTCTCCTCGGCCTCTCAGATTCAGAGGAGGAGAAAGTTTCCCTCAGGTGCTAGCCTGGGATGCTCCACGCCTTTACTCCTTACAAGTTTCCTCTGCCCCTGCCCATAACTTCCTACATGGTCTGCAGTGGTTCAAATATGAAATGATCTTCACACACCCATGTGTTCAAGGCTTGGTCCCCATTTGCAGTGCCGTTGGGAGGTAGCGGAAAAGTTGGAAGGTAGGGCTTAGCTAGAGGAAATTGATGTTCTGTCCCACCTGGGGCTCAGAAATTCTAGAGCCAACCCCCAGGGATGGAAACTTCTGAAAGCCTGAGTCAGAAGAAATCTTACCTTTCTCACACTGTTTCTCTCAGGAATCTGTCACAGTGACTGACACCCCATCCTCCATTACCAGTTCCTCAGAAACCTTAGTATCTCAGTATCTTAGTATCTCAGATACCTTGGGTATCAGTTGCTTCTGCCCTTGACTATTCAAACACTCCTGGGCTGACACATATTCCCAGGATATCCTAAGATCTCCCATGCATCACTAGTGACCTTATCCTGTCCCACTGAGCACATCCAGGGGATACGTGTCCCTGTGGCTGTGTAAGACGGCCACCTCCTGCTCTGCTGCTCTCTTGAGAACACTGGGTTCCTTCTGCCATAAGCGCATCGGCCTGAAGATGCCTTTCAAAGCAGTGAGAATGCAGGAGCCGAGCGCGGGGCTCTGACTCAGGACACTACCCTTGAGTATGGGTGCGAAGTCTGCCACTAAATAGCTCAGTTCAGGGACATGACCCTCTTGTTTAGACTTCATTTCCTTTACCTGTCTAAGAGTTAGACTCCTCCCAAGAAAGTTCAAAATGTCAATAAACAGGTGAAGGAATAAAGAAAATGGGGGTATCCATACATAATGGGAGTTCTATTCAGCGTTAAGGAAGAATGAAATTAGATCATCGACAGGGGAACAAATAGACTTGGAGCTCATCACGCTAAATGAAGCAAGCCAGACTTCAAAGATAAATATCACACTTTTCTATCATGTATAGGATAAAGATTTTAGTGTTTCTGTGTATACATTTCCCTTTCTACCTTCATATCACATATGCAAATACGACAGGAAGGTAGAAAGGTGAATATATGGGAAAGGAAAGGGAACAGGAGTCGGGGATAAGACTAGGTGTTGCATAACCAAATTTTTCCTGGAGAAGTCAACACATGCATCTACTCATCCCAGACAGGAAGCTCACGACAGAGCAAAGTATAGACACACCAAGGTCCAACTTGGTGGACCATGTGTTTTATTAGGGATTCTTAACAGGAGGCGTATGGGTGAGTGGTCACTTACAGAAGCAGAAATGACTCAGAGACAGCGGCATAGCCAAAGTCCACCCCGGCGTGGGTGACAGCTGACAAAAGCCGGGATCCTGGAGCTCACTGCGCAGCCTGCAGCAGCTCACCAGGCTGGCGAGTGTGTGTCCCTTCCCAGGCAGCTCAGCAGGTTTCGGCTCCTCCCAGGCTGGTCCCAGAGTCTTCCTTGCAGCGTGGTTTGCTGAGAGTGACTCTCAGCAATTACAGCAGTTCAGGGAGGGAGGGGCTGGTGAATCTGGTCAGTTCCAAGGACTTCCCGAAGCTATTTTGAGTTGTTTACCTTCCTGCTTAAGGAGCTTTCCAAAAGGATGGATGCTTCTCTTCTGGAGGAAACAGTTACACAGCAGTAGGTAATCGAGGACTGAACGTGAAAATACATTCCATACGGGTATGGAAATGTCACTACAAAACTCATCAATTTGTCCCTTATGTATGTCTATAGTAACAATAATTTTCTCATTTTGATCAATTCAAAATAATGTTTCTCAGTTTTTAAAACTGTGGAAAATAATTAAATGAGAAAATTCAAAGTTCTCTTCTAGGCCCAACATTTTAAAACTTATTTTTACTAGATATTATTTATTGAGACAGAGAGAGAGTACATGTGTGCGCGCGCACAAATATGTCACAGCACATAGGTCCTGAGGACATTTAGGACAATCCCACCTGTACACCGTTTGGTCCCAGACATCAAACTCGGGCCATCAGTCTTGATAGCAAGTGCTTGTGCCTGCCTTAACCACCGAGGCATTTCACCAGCCCTAAGCCAATTTTTAAGCATAAAAATCAACATTGTCTTGCCCGTGTGCCAGGGAGGCTCCAGTTCCAAGGATTAATGGAAATCCGACGATGAAAGGCCTGTGTCTGCCAGGCCTCCCGCGCGGTGCATTTGGTTTGGCTCTCCCGGCCTCACTCCCGGCACCTTCTCACTTCCCCTTGCTTCTGCCACTGCTCCTGCGAAGGAAAAAGAAAGGGAAATTTTAAGTCAGTTGCTTAAAACGCAAACCAGCCCAGCAAATAAAAACATGAAAAAAACTGAAGGAGCACCTCGACAACTTGGCATGACCTTTCCGAACGGACCGGTGGGGTGTCACTCGGGCCTAGCATGTGAGACTGGCAGCCCTCAATAACTCACCCAGATGCTTAGTCCTGGATGGAATCACAGAGTAGCAATTCATAGTTTGGGCTCCGGGATCAAACGTGTATGGGTTCAAATCCAACCGCCACCAATTACTAATGGGATGATCTTGAAAAAAGCTACTTAATCACACTGAGCTTTTCTTTGTAATCTGGGAAATCGTGAGACTATAGTATTAATAGTAATAGCAGGGTGCTAGAGAGATGGCTCAGTGGTTAAGAGCACCGTGGCTCTTTCAGAGGATCCAGGGTATGGTAGACATAGGGTATGGTAATATACCCTATGTGCAGGTAAAACACTCATTCACATAAGTCTTAAAAAAATAGTATCTACTTGATAGAGTTATCATGGGGCTTAGGGGTAGAAAAAAATGTACAATGTTTAGAATCTAGAAAAAATCTATTAAGCTATTATTTTGGGGTTTTGTTACTAAAGCTATCCTATTGACTTGTAAGAAGTTTGGGGATCAGAATTTATTTGCATGCTCAGCGGAGGACCCCTCAGCGTTCCTCTGTGACGCTCGCTGGCTGTTTGCCGTCACCTCACAAACTCTAAATACCCTGAGGTGGGCCTCTGCCTGTGCCCTGGGGGTTTTCTTGATGACACTACTTGGTATAGAAAGACCCGTCTTAAATTTGGTTGGGACCATTCCCTGGGCAGAGAGAGGATCCTGGACTGTATAAAATGGAGAAAGCAAGTTGAGCACTCACAATATGTGCCTTCCTCTCTCTTTCCTGACTGTACCGGCCTTGACGTTGTCAGCGATAGGCTTCACAAGGCATGATAGACTGTGCATGTCCTAATAGGCTGCACACGATGTGATGGGCTGCGCATGCTGTGATAGGCTGCATAAGGCATGATAGACTGCGCACATCGTGATAGACTGCGTATACCATGACAGACTGCACACACTATGATAGACTGCACATGATGTGATAGGCTGTGCATGCTGTGATCTGCTGCATAAGGCATGATAGACTGTGCATGTCCTGATAGGCTGCACACACTATGATAGGCTGCACACACTATGATAGGCTGCACACACTATGATATACTGCCCATGCCATGATAAGCTGAGCATGCTATGATAGACTGTACATGCTATGATAGACTGTACATGCTATGATAGACTGTACATGCTATGTTAGACTGTACATGCTATGATAGACTGTACATGCTATGATAGACTGTACATGCTATGATAGACTGTACATGCTGTGATAGACTGTACATGCTGTGATAGACTGTACATGCTATGATAGACTGTACATGCTATGATAGACTGTACATGCTGTGATAGACTGTACATGCTGTGATAGACTGTACATGCTGTGATAGACTGTACATGCTATGATAGACTGTACATGCTATGATAAACTGTACACGCTGTAATAAGCTGCACACACAATGATAGGCTATGCGTGCCATGATGGACTACACATGTGAACTGTGAGCCAGAATAAACTCTCCATCTTTCAGTTGCTGTTGTTGGAATATTAAAAAAAAAAAAACTGAGACAGCCCCTCTGCTCCCTTGTGCCCCCATCAGAGCCTTAGTTATGATGATGCTGTCATTTACTGAATGCCTGCCATGGTTCAGAACATAGAGAAGCTATTCAGACCCCTGAGGGAGCTTTGTGACTGACTCAAGTCACGATGTTACCCACAGCTCCCAGCAGCCCTGAGAAGAGGGTGGCCCCGCCTCCATTCTAGTAGACTCTTATTCAGTTTTCTTACTGGAGTCTGCTTGTGATGGAGAAGAGAAGGGAGTCTCATCTGGGGGCTGGGAAGATGACGGGATTCTCAAAAGTAGGAAGACACACCCAGCATATCTCCACCTGGATCCCTCCAATCTAGAGGGATCTATAGGAATGAATTTCTCCTAGTGGGCAGATGGCAAAGATCTCCAGCACCTTGCCTTGGTGGCACTGGAGCCAGAAACATACCAGTGTTTTGGGCCAAGTGGTGGTGACCAGCTTCCTGATGTATTTTGCAAGAAGAGAAAGCATTGTGAGTATTTCATGGCTTTAAAAGAGTTTTGACATGGTGACGACCTGTTTGCAATTTGTTTGAGACTGTTTTATGTAGCCCAGGCTAGCCTCCGTTTGCTGTGCAGCTGAGGATGACTTGAACTCCTGATCCTCCTGCTTCTACCTCCTGAGTGCTGGGCTTCTAGGCAGACACCACCATACCCGGCTCCAATTTTCTTTTTCCTTTAACAAACCAGGAGCTTCTGTGAGCCGAGATCCACTTCACAGTCCCCAGGTGATACCTCCCCCGAGAGCTTGGTTTCTGTCCTGTCAGTGGCTCTTGTTACCACAGAGAAGGTAAATCCAAACCTTTCTTGCATTTCTTTTAAATTTTTTATTGATATTGTTGGTATTATTATGCGTATCTGGTTGGTTTGCCTACATGTATGTCTGTGTACTGTGTTTGTGCCTAGCTCCCATGGAGGACAGAAGACAGTTGGATCCTCTGTAACTGGAGTTAAAGATGGAGCCCAGATCTTCAATCTTGGTGGCAAGAGCCTTCTCCTACTGAGCTGTCTCATCAGTCCTCAAATATCTTTTAGTATTTCTTTCATTTGCACTTGATTTTATTTTTTGACACATGAGATGATTTAATATTGATTGCCAACTCAATGAGATTTAGGATCAACTAATTAACCAAGCCTCTGAGTGTGACCATGAGGGGCTTTCTAGAGCAGTTTTACAGAGGGGAGGACTCACTCAGATATGGGCGGCACTAGAACAAGCCCCACCTTCTTGTATTAGTTATCTGTCTCAGGATTCTGAGAAAGTGCCTGACAGAAGGACTTAAAAGGGGGTTGTTTTCTCACATTTCTACAGTTCAGGTCATCATAGTGAGGAAATTGGGGTCGCAGGAGCTTGAGGTGGCTGGTCACACGGCGTCACCCACTGTCAGGAAGCCGATGAACCCCGGAGCTCAGCTCACTTTCTCCTGCTCAGTCGAGCCCCTTCACCCACTGAGCCCGCTGGCCAGCCCAGACTCTGGTTTTTCAAATAAAAACCTTGTTGAGATAGAAAACACACACAACATAAAAACACTCTCAAATTGTATAATTCCATCATTTTTAGCATATTCACAGAATTATGCGGCCATTGCCACCATCTCAGAACACCGTGGAGAGACAGCTGAGAGGTTAATGGCTCCTACTTCTCTGTCAGAGTCCTGGGGTTCAGATCACAGCAAACGGCTCACAACGCCTGTAACTCCAGCTTCAAGAGACCCAGCACCCCTTTCCAGCCTCTATGAACACCCATGCGCAAAAGGAAAACTTAAAGAAGAAACCACACACTTTATAAGTCACCCTTCATTTTGCTTCCCAGCGCTAACTTTTAAACTGGTGCTGGGCCCATTTTGGTTGGCGTGAGTGACAGCTGGCCGTTACTCCATGACAGTCCAGAGTCTGACCATACAGAACAGAATCGTAATCTTTCAGGTGCAGTGAAAAGTGGCTTGGGAACTGGTCAAGGGCAAACTCAGCAGGGAATGTAAGAGGGACACAGTGAGTTTCTACCTCACCCAGTCCTGCAGGCAGCAGGAGGCAGCGCGTAGCTTCTTCTCATCCAGTGTAACACCTTTTTCTCAGGATCCAACATGCCAGCTGGAGCTCTGGCCATCAAATCCTCTTTCCAGATAGCAAGAACGAGGACAGCGTGAAAGCTGCATGCCATTGGTTTCTAGGAAAGCGTCTCAGTGGCTTTCAAAAACACATCTACTAACATCCCATTGACGGGAACTCGCTCATATTGCCCAGACTGCAAAGAAGGCTGGGGAATTCAGCCTTTTTAAAATCAGCCACGGTGGCTCACATGAGCACACTGAGGGAGACTAGGCGTTGGAACATGTATCCATTAGCAAATACTCAAATAGTACTGCATAGCAAAAGACCTGTAACGTTGGTATACAACAACGAGCCCACCCCCACTTGCTCTCAGGTATTGTTAGTTGGGAAACTTTGAATCCAGCAACAGGTTTGATAGGGTTACATTCAGCTTGAGGGTGGGTCCTGTCCGTCCAGCTCCATATTTCCCCAGGACCAGCACTACTAGGGTGTGTTCCCTTCATGGCAGATGGAAGGTACACAAGAAGTAAGTCAAAGACACGTGATGCTTCCAGAAGCCTCTTGAGTGACTCCTTCCCATACTCCGTTGCCAGGTTCATATCAAGGACAGGACAGGTTCATATCAAGGACAGAAGGGACACTCTATTCATCTTGATACATAACATTGCAAAATCACACAGCAAAGTGTCCATGTATAAAAAATCCACAGGGAGCACTTGAGCATGATGAGCAATGATGCATTGCAATACAGAAGATAGAGCTCGCCAGGGGTCCTGGTCAGCTTTGACTGTCAATCAGTCACAACCCAGAGTCATCTGATAGGGAAGTTTCAACTGAGGAACTGTCCAGATCACATATGTCTGGGGGAGGTGATGAGGGATTGACCTCTGTATTCTATGAATATGTGTAATTACCATTGGTTAGTAAAGAAGCTGCTTCAGGCTATAGCCGGGCAGAATATAGCCAGGCTGGAAGAGATATAGAGAGAAAGTAGACAGAGTCAGAGAGATGCCATATAGCTGCCAAAGGAGAAAGACACCTACCCTGGAACCTTATCAGTAAACCACAAGTCTCATGGTAAAATACAAAATAGTTGGATTGGGTTAATTTAAGATGTAAGAGTTATCTAGAAATATGCATAAACTATTGCTCAAGCAGTGCTGTAATTAATATAGTTTCTGTATGATTATTTCGGGTCTGGGTTGCTGGAAAATGAACAGCAGCCTCTGCCTACAGGGAGGGATTCCTGATCATCAATTGGTAAGGGAGGACCAGTCCATTGTGAGTGGCACAGCTCCCTGGGCAGGTATGGTCACTAGGTGAGTCCTCCATGGTCTCTGCTTCTCATTCCTGTTTGAGTTCTTACCCTGGTTCTCTTCAATGGTGGGCAATGACACAGAAGCATGAGCCGCATAGTCCTTTCCTCCTCCAAGTCGCTTTTGCTGAGAGTGTTTTATCAGGGCACCAGAAAGGAAGCCAGAAGACCAGTAATCCTGGAATCAGCTGTTTGTTCTCTGAGGTCCCCAGGAGCAACTGCCTCTTGCTGTTGCTATGATTTCCATCCTGGCCTGACTTCTGGGTTGAACCCCCCCATGATCCACCCTTCAGGAATAAGCTAAGTCCTGCCTCCCACAAAAGCCCGCCAATCAGCAATCCTTATTCCTGTTCCACCAGCCACCTGCAGCTTTTTCTTGCCCAGAGAGGGCTTCTAAGACTCCTCAAGTGCAACCGGAACTTACTTGGTTTTGCTTCAGTTCCCAAAGGCTTAATAAGGACCAGTCCCCCTTCCCCACTCTGTCCCTCCAAACACAAGGAGGTTTATCATGTCACCTTCTGTGACGTCACAGCTTGACGGTTCTTCATGAGGCAGTGAGACTCTGGACAAGCAGATCCTTGAACATTGAAAATCCGATTTTATTTTGCTGGATTAAGACCAGGTTTATAAAGGCAGATGAGTAAGTTGGTAGAGTGGTCTCAGTTCAAGATGAGGACCTGAGTTCCCATCCCCAGCACCCACACAAAAACTCAAGCCTGAAGACTGGAGAGATGACTCAGTAGTTAACAGCATTGGCTGCTCTTGCAGAGGATCCAGGTTCCATTTTCACAGGAACCCAGCCTTCTCTAACTCCAACTCCAGGGACTCTGGTGCCCCCTTTCTGCCCCTGCCTCAACTTTGCATTCACATGGTGTACACACATATGTGCAGACACAGCATTCAAACACATAAAATAATAATAATAATTTAAAAAGCAGACCTGGCACACATCTATAATTCTAGCACCAGAGAGGCAGAGACAGGCAGATCCCTGGAACTTGCTGCCCAGCCAGCTAGTATGGCAAAATTGGTGCGCTCCATCCAAGCAGTGAGAACTCAGAAGATAAGAGGGGGAGCAACTGAAGAAGATGTGCTTTCATCTGGTGTACACGTGCACCTGCACACACATGTGCACGTGCACACACCAACACAAAAAAACTGCTTTTACAACAGTGAAAATTCAGAATTCAGTGAATAGCTTGGCTTCCCCAAAGGGCGACCTTTTCATAGTGTACATTCTCAGTAAGTCACCTGCTAAATGCTAATTGCTCGAGCTTCAGGCAAATTTCCGAAAGGTTTTGGTCAAGGTTTTTGAAACAAATAACCTTCAGTGTACCTCACTAAAGCCATTAGCGCACCTCTGTGCTAGTAGCTTCGTTCACTGCTGTGGCAAAAATGTTATGCAATTCATTGTGAAACATTAAAACAATACAATTCAGTCTGACCCCATATCCACAAAATGGTGCTACTGACATTCAGAGCAGATTTCCCTCAATTAATCTCTGTAAACACTCTCACAGACACACCCAGAAACCTATTTCCCAGGTGTTTCTAGATCCGGGCAAATGGAAGAGGATTAACCCGAGAAAAATTCACTTGGAAACCTAAACTTCTTTTTGGCTACAGTCCAAAGTTAGTGCCAATTATAAAAATTACTGAGCAACTGGTTATTCATCGCCTGACAGTCACTTCTGCGGTACTGCAGCCACCCCTTTCCATACGGGTGGCTTTCGTGTGGTGTTCATGTAACTTTGGGGTTCAAACAGGATTCTTATACCTTTTCAGGAAGGTGACACAAAAAAGGAGTCACAAGTTTCTTCTTTAAAAAGTAAACCATCCAGCCAGCCATGGTGACGAACACACTTTTAATCCCAGCCCTCGGGTATTGAGGCAGGAGGATCTTTATGAGTTCCAGGCCAGTCTGGTCTATGCAGTTAGCTCCAGGACATCTAGGGCTATGTATAAAGACCCGATCTCAAAAAATAAAAAAAGAATAGTAAATTAATTATTATTTGATGGTTTCATACATGTAGAAAATGTATCTTGGTCATATCTACTCCCGACTCCCCCGTCACTCCCCTGGACACTCCCAACTTGTACTCTTCCCATTTCAATACCCTCTCTCTTTTTCTCCTCATCCACCAAGTCTAATTAATGCTGCGTGTTGAGATGTTGGTTGCTCCAGTTGGCTTGATCATCTACAGGCCAGCCCGAGGTCATGAGTAATGTCCACATCATGTTTAGAAGTCAGAACCCCTCCCCATCCTTTGGCCTTTTCATTCTTTCTTCCCCTCCTTCTGCAATGTTACCTGAGCCTGAGAGATTTAGGGGTTTATATAGATGTTCCATTTAGGGATGAGCAAAATATACAATAGTTCCTCATTCTCAGCACTTTGACATTTTAGGGTCTCTGTGACACTGCTGGCCATTGCGGAAAGAAGCTTTGGCTAAGGTTGAAGGTAGCACCAATATGTCTCTCTCTGTCTCTCTGTCTCTGTCTGTCTGTCTGTCTCTCTCTCTCTCTCTCTCTTTCTCTCTCTCTCTCTCTCTCACACACACACACCCGTGTGTGTGTATATATATGTGATTTATTGGAATGACTTACAGGCTGCAGTCCAGCTAATCCAATAATGGTTGGTTGTGAACAGAAAGTCCAAAAACCCAGTAGTTGCTCAGTCCACAAGGTGGAATGTCTCAGTTGGTCCTCAGTATATGCTGGAATCCCAAAGAAGTAGACGCCAGTGCCAGAGAAGGAATGGATGTGCTACCAAATAGGGGAAAGCAGGCAAAGAAGAAGGAAATGCTCCTTCTTCCGAGTCTTTATTTAGACTTCCAGCAAAAGGTATGTCTTCCCACCTCAAGATCCAGATCAAAGGCATGTGCTTTCTACCTCAGAGGTCTGGACTAGAAGTGGATTTACCCGCATCAAACCAGGCAAAAATAACCTCTCGTAGATGTGCCCTCAATTTCTGGATTGTAGTTCACTCCAGATGTAGTAAAATTGACAACCAAGAATAACCATCACAAGTCCACCCCTTGTCAACTGGGCATGTGACTGTACCTCCTTAAGTCATGATTAATTTCCAAATGAAAACAATCACCAGGTAATAATAATGCCTAAACATGATATTACTATCTTAAGGACAATTGTAAAGGCATTACATATTTAACCAGATCATAACTGTGTCTAACACAATATAATTATCTCTTGTACAATTGCAAAGGCATTATATATTAAAGACAGATAGAAACATCCCTTGAGGAACATTCTTTTAGTACCCTAAATTTAAATATGACAACCACTGATATTTTCTTAATTGATGTTGCATCATCATATGATAAAGAAATTGAGGAAGGAAAGCACAAATATCTGTACAAACTCACTCTTAGCAAAATACAGCAGAAGTACTCATGTCCACTCTAATCCTCATTTCTGCAACTGATCATGTGACCTTAGCTGGCATTTAGAACTACCTCCCTCTACAACCCATTCTGTATTCCCTACACCCTCAGCAAGAACCTCAGCAGGTCTTGACTCCTTTCATGAAGGAGTTACCCAAACATGTTAGTATATTCTTAAGACGAGCCTCTCTGCTGACACAAATAATTCCAATCAGACCAAATTAGACCGAATAAAAGATGCCCACGTTTACTGTAGCGCTCCTGGGTGGTCAGGAGCATGGCGAGGGAAGAAAGAAACAGAGGTGGGGACCACACAACCCTCAAAGACCACATGTTTCTTTTTTGGGAGGCAGCCTAAATAGCCTGTGGGAGTGGTCCTGACCCTCCCTAGGGAGGGGTCAGCACTTGGTGGGCTTTCCTGGAGGTGGAGTCCAACCATGGCAACTGTGGGGGGGTTCCAAAGATGGATGCCAGGTATTACTTTCCAGACTCTTTGTATAAGGGGTAACAGGGAGCTGAGGTGATGCTTATGACCAACATTTTAGGCTCTCTTTGGATAAAGGGGCATCAGCTCAAGTCTGGCTACTTCCTGCAAGCATGGGGCGATATGGGAAAGGCAGGAGCTGGGAGTTGGTGGACTCATGCTCAGCGAAAGGTGTGGCTGGAGCGGCATCTTGTTTACTGTAATCCTGGAGTCCTCAGGCAGGTGCTTTTTGAGGGAGTTGAGAAAGCAGGTGGCAAGGAGGGAAAAGATATTGTTATTATTGGCCCTATAAATGGGACTAGCCATGGGGAGTCATTAACTGCCACAAAGAATGGGACAGAGAAGTACCCTGGTTGTACAGGTGAGGCTCAGGTGTATAATTGGGACAAATAGCTGATAAAACCAGATTTTATTTATTTAGATAAAATTTTAGTGATAGGTGTCCTTGATCCAGGAGAGTTGGTTCCAATGATGAAGTCCCAGGAGCTGGTGCAGGTGTTTGGTGTTGTCTGGAGAGCACTTTGTAAGTTGGTCTTGGCCCAGACAGCAGGAGTGACCTGTAAAATATGCTTGAAAATGGGAGAGGTTAAAGCAGGCCCTGGAGACTGTTAGCTTTTACCAGACCTGAGTTTTGATACAGCAGTAGAATGTTTCCAGTAAGAGAACTTTAACAGACTTATATCTTGGTGACATGGTAAAAGACTATTGCTTTAGGTTAAAGGGTATGAACATTTTAAAAGACAAAGGGAATTGGG